TCTTGTATCTACTTTGGTCAACTTAATTCTATTTTGGAGTAGATTCTGCACCTCTCCTACTAGAAGAGAGCGCTACAGCGCTACTCTTGGATATCATAAAATGGCTCAGTCCAGTTTCACTGTTAATGGCTGGTATTCTGAAGGTTTTGGACAGTGTGCCATGTCCAGCTATCAGTGTCCTGAGAACAGAGAGGATTCTGCTAGGCATCTCTCATGCTGTCTTGATCAGATTGTTTTAAACGGTCTTTATTCCAGTCAAGAACTGTGTTCCCTGATATGAACTAAATCTTATCTCCAATATCCTTGATAGGACAGACCTTTCACCTATTTGTGTCGGCATCTGGTTTGTGTTCAGAAGATTTAGCAAGGAAGAGTAGCACTAATACTAATAAAATTGTGAAAGAATGAAGTGAAAAAAAATCAGTAATCTGGTTTTGTCTATATTTGATATAAAGTGACTGTAAGGCACCCTGGAAAAAGACAGAGGCAAATTACATCACTGAATTTATTTGCAGATATAAGAGTTTGCCAGATCAGACTCTGCAGCAATAGTCACTCACTCACTACTGCACCTAGGTCTTTTTTTTTTCGTCCATACTTTATGTATACTTTCTGTATACTTTATATATAGTGGCCTGAATGTTTTTTCTTAAATTATCACTTGCAATAATTAATGTTTTCAACAGTAATTTAAAAATTCTTTCAACTGAAGGCAGAATGGATGATAGCGTGAGCTGTTTAAGTTCTTATTTGATGTATAAAAGTTTACACTAGGTGACGATGCTTTTTGTCATTAACTATGAAGTTAATCTTCTATTTTATTTTTTAGAGTGGGCTGTGTTTCAGAGATGACACAGAAAAGTGTTCAGATTCAGGAAGGCTGCACAGCTTTTTGTATCTGCTGCCTTGTGTCTGCTGTCCCTGGTCTGTCCTAGACTTGGATTTAAACTTACATTCCAACACTTGGTTTTGAATCTCCTAAGTTAGAAATGGCAACCTACTCTGGAGCACATGCTATGAACACGAACATTTGTTTGGGGGAAAGAAAGCTTCGTGATTAACAGTAGGTTTAGAATAAAATGTTCTTTTTTTGTTCTGTTGACAAACGATCAGGAATTTGGATTTGGTAGAGAACAATTTTAAGTGGAGAAATACGACTGCTAAAAAGCAGTGTAATAATATGTCTGTAGAGCACTTTGAAGATGAAAAGCTCTATATACTGTAAACATTATTACTAATGTAGCTTAATCTGTGTGGAATAATTAATCTGGCATAAGCAAAATGTGAATTTTTTTTAATATACAACATAGGTGCGTTTGACTTTCTGAAACATTATGTACTTACTTTCACATTGTAATGTAAGAAATTCATCTTCTTATTTTTTTCATATCTGCGTGGTGCGATGTATAACTTTGTTGTTACTTTACAAAGGCAGAGGTAGTCCTAATCCAGACCAACCTGTCAGAAATGTGAAACGTCTAGGCTGGGAGGAAAAATCGGTGTTTTTTTAAAGATGGTATAAAAATGCTGTGCGAGGGGAAGTAAGAGCCTGTCAGATATGGGAATGGTTGGGGGGCATCGACCTCTTCAGGCTTTTACTGTGGCTTTGGAGAAGACTCGACTGAATTTAGTTCCAGAACCATGCAGGTGCCAGACTGTGCTGGGAAGGGAACACCTGCCAGGCTGCTCCAGATAACTCAGCAGCTCAGAGGCATTTTCCCAGGCTCCCAGCTGAATGGTCCGTAACAGCCGTGGGAGAGGGCTTCCCGCTGCTCCCCGCTGTACCACAGCCTCTTCTTGGCAGCCTTCGGGAAGCACGAGTCAGCTTGGCTGGGACTCCTTTGGAAAACAAGTGCTGCTGGATAGTCTTACAGTCAGGAGTCAGTGTCTGATACTTCCTCTCGGTGTCGTGGGACTATGAAATATAACAAGCAGGGCAAATTACCGTTCCCTTAAAAGGCAGCGCTTGCTGGTGCGTATTTTAGCTGAAGCTGAGCTGTTGCTTTTCTAGAACCACTCCTGTTCAGTTACATTTGGGCTTTCAGGGTCTGTTTATTTTGTGCTGGGTTTAGGGTTTTGTGGCTGGTGTTTTGTGAGGCTTTTTCTCTTCTTTCTGTTTGGATCTGGTGATTTAGGCATGCGCTTTGGAAGTAGGAAAAAACAAGCTCCAAATCACTAACAGCAGTTTTATTTCTGCCGCTCTGTTGGTGATCTGCAAATGGAGATTTGTCTATGCTGCATGATGAAGAGGGAATTGAAGACTGGGCCAGCTGGGTTTGCTGAGTCTAAGATTTGTGTTACTGGCTGCAAATCACTGTGTGTAGCTTGAGGTTCAAACTTGTATGGAGTGCTTAAAAGGAGCATTTGGTACATATAAGTTGGTCCCTCCTTCCAGATACTGTGAACAGCAGCTTTTGGTCCTTGCTGAGTACACCCAGACCGTCTTCCCTGGATTGTAATCCACGGCCTGCCCAAAGCCAACATTAGTGGATGGTTGTATATAAACAGTGTTGATGGCGGACAAGTCTGGAATTGAGAACAGACTTAGACTCATGCTGAGTAACTGTGTCAAAAGTTTTAAAAGGTGCAAGTTGTGTGAGGTTGTCGGATAAGAAGGTTTTCTTAAGGAGCTTATTTTTTAGTTTTTTATTTCATGAAGCAGAATGGTTAATTGGATAATATATTCCTCTTGAAGGAAGCAGAAAGAGGATATCACAGTTTTTATAGCTCTGCAGTAACTCTGGCAACTTCAAAACGAGAGGAGTTTTACAAACCTCCAGCTGACTATGGATACAAAAGAGTTTTAAAACATTTGATGAGCATAGCTGTGTCATACTTCCAAAGCAGAGGTATCTTGAATGAAATGCATCTTAGAATTTTCTCACAGCAATAAGTAACAGCAAATTGTTCAGGCTCTTTCAGCAAAGTCAAGTAGTAGTCATGGAAACTGAAATTACTTTCTACTGTTAGTCCCTCTGGGCTGAGCTTATTAGCTCAGGTGCAGCTCCTTGTGAAGGCTTTATAAGACTTTCAGACTTGAGCTGACACTGCAAAAATAGTGTAGAGGTGTCTTGATTTCTTAAGAAATTATTTTCTTGTATTTGAGGTAGGTGTTTTCTTCCAGAGGACAGTAGCTGGCTGAGTAAAGGGCCTTTAAGAGAAATTTGAAACTTTATTCAGGTCATTAGTCAATCAAATATGATTAACACTTTACCTCTTGGAGAATACCAGAATAGCAGTAAAAATAAACAGATATACATGTCACTGATTTGTAAAAGAATTTCAGGAATGAAGTGCTTTTTCCTGTGAAAAGCAAAAGTGTCACACTTTTTCATTTGAAGTTCTTCTCAAGAAAAAATACATTTGGAATATCCAGAGAAATGGAGATGGAAAAGTTCTTTTAATATTTACTCTCTGGAGATTTGTTTGTAAATTTATACATATAGGAATGTTACCTTTTCAGTGTTACGAAGGTCACGGTGGAAGATGCTATTATCACACTAATAACTTATTTGTATACAGGGTAAATTCCTTGATTTGGCAAACCTTACTAACAGTGCTAAAGAATTGTGGATGCCAAACTGGAAATAGCTAAAAGTAATTTTCTTTAATTGTGCTCGTAAATATACAGTTAATAAAGCTGGTGGATTGCATCCAAATTTTTCTCTAGGGCTCATCATTTTTAAGGGATGGTTCAACTTGTCGCATCTTGACTTGATCTCTAAAGGGAAGTCAGATTTTAAGTATCTTCCTGAGGGGAAGGAAAAACAGATGGCTGATAAATTTCAAAGGGATTGATTGTGATCAATAACTATGGTGCTTAATGAGAGGTGATGCTGAACAGCACTTGGTGGTGAGCTCCCAGAGATCTTGTACAAGAGAGCTGTAAACTGTGCAGGAGAGGACATGCATTTTGGGGCTCAAACTTAGAAATAAGACATGCCTTGACATTTCTCAGTAAGAAGTAGAGACAAACCACCTTTCTTTACTTCTTTTTAAATGGTTGGACTAGAAGAGCAGCAGCAGCACTTAATTTTCCAGCATTTCTATGGTAATTGCACCAAAGGTGTCTGACTGCCTTGGAAGCAGCAATAATTTAAGTCTTGCAAAACCCATCAGAGTTTGGGAAATAACCACTAACCTTTTTTTGCACATTCATTTTAGTGAGGTGTGCAGGGAGGCTATGGAGGAGGAGTCCCAGATGCTGACTTCTCTCCCTTTCAGTGGGATTTATGTTGCTAAATAACTTTCTGAATCAAGTCCCAACTGATTTACTCAGGGTCATTTGAGAGTTTAAGGAGAACAAAAGTAAACGCTGATTTCCTTAGCTGTAGTCTAAGAGTCTCTTCCCTGTAATATAATCCTTTCTGTCCTTTTCTTATGCTCCCGGTGCACAAGGATTTCCATCGTTCTCAGGAGTAGAAACTGAAGAAGCGTCTCTGTATGTTACAGGTATCTGCTGGGTCAGCCAGGCTAGCTGATACCGAGGAGTTTAAATGTATGTGTTTCTCACTTAATTCAATGGAATTCTAGCTAATTAAGACCTTTCATGTTTGTATTTTTGATATCACCTTTGAGCATGTCACCTTCTAGAAGGCAGTTAAGTAAATCGTCCTCTGTAGTGTTCTTGTAGAATATGTATGAAAACAGTGTAGACTAGGACTCTAGCCTACCGGACTAGTGAGCACAACACTAACTATTAAGAGGATGACATGTCTGATCAATTTAATTGATTTAAACATATTTCTCTGTTTGGACACCAGGACTTGGTGATTAGCAATTTGTTTAGGTTTTTCCCTTGTTTCAGATTCTAATTTCTTGAGATTTCAATATGAATGGTTTCTTTCTAAAAACATTTGTTTAAAATTACATTTTCTTTTGCATTCTTGAGCTGTTACTGCTGCTTTTGCTCGATGCTGTCTTCACAGATGTGCAGTACTGAGACCAGAATATCCAAGATACCCTTGCACTTATTATTATCCTTTTGTTTTATGTTGCAGCTAACAGTTTGCACATTACTGCGTACTTTATGAAGAGATGGGTTAATCTCCGTTGTGCTGTGGGGAAACACTACCGCGGTAAGAAATCAGTTTCTTACAGTGTTTGACAGTGTTACTTAGAATTTTGCATTTCCGGGAGAAAGAAAAGGAACGTGAGCTAATATTTTGTCAGATAATGGCCTACTTAATCAAAAGTTCTTTTAGAGCTTGGTTTTGTGTTGTTTTGTGGTTTTTTTTACCCAGAGAATGTTGTTTTTTTAAAAAAAAAAAAGAGAGAAGTGTTTCTTAACATATGATGGATTTTAAATTTTTAAAATTAATTTTAAATTTATGTATGCCTTGCCCCAGGGTAATCAGCTAAGCCACACCAAATTCTGTGAGTATGATGAGACTCAGCGTTTTCCTGAGTCTCTGCAGGGTGAATCAACCAGAGGCTGCGGCATGAATCACTTCATTATTGCTTGAGTGTCTTGTGACATCAACCGTGCAGTACAAGTGTATGCAAGAAAAGGCTTTCATTCACCTCAGTGCTATAAAACCTTTACACAGGTGATGTCATTGGACCAGATTTTTTTTTTTTTCATGTTTCCTTAAGCAGAGATGCTCTGTAAGGAAGTGATATCAATCCTGTCCTGCCAACACCAATCAGAAGGAGCTATGTGCCGTTAAAAATATTGAATACTTGAATGGATATTTTTTTAAGGATTGCTTTTTTCTTTTTAAGGAACTCATTGTATTCATGAATATTTAAATCTCTCTTCAAATGCCAACTAGTTTTTTTCTAAGTCTATATTGGTTAAATAAGTTGGAATGTGGATTTTAAATGAAACTTGTTCTCCAAGCCTCCTGGAAAAATAGTTAGAATAGCAGTGTGTCTGAATTCGTATCACAACACTGTATTAAGTTTGAATTTTTTTTAAAGCATCAATGAATACTAAAGACATTTGCATTTTGTTAGCCAACAAGTGAGATCGTTCTAAAATGCAACAATAAATATGTCTAACTGGAATGAACTTGCCCAGCTAGTGCTGCCAAAAAGAGAGGCTCTGATGCTGCAGTCAAAACTTTGCTTCCACGTGAAATTGCTGACTGGAAAGGAACTTCATTTTGCTAGGTTTCACTCACAATAAATAGCAAAATAAACCCACACCCTAAAAAAAGATAAATAATTTGGCACCAATGTTTCTTTTCTGTAAGATACCTCCTAGTACTTCACAAACAAAAAAAATGCTGAGCCTAATAGAAGAAGAATCTTTACTGCTTTAATCGGTGATTCTTAGTCAATATCTGACATAAACTCACCTCGGAAACTATTACTGGAACCCCACATATAACAGATTCAGTCCTTGCAGCAGCTGTCCAGCTTTGCTTTTGTAGCCCGTTTGGAAGACCTCTGTAGACCGCTCGTGGTTTGCAAGCCGTTGTACTAGACCTTTGCAGGTGGCTTTTCAGGACTTGAGGGTACGAGCAGAGAAAGAATAGTCTGGACATAAGGCACAGCATGAATACTTCCTTGGACGCAGTTTTGCAAATGGAATTGATATTTCTGAAAGGGTTGTGCAAGGCTCATAGTCATTATCAAATTCTAGAAGCTTAACGAGCTGTTGTGCCAATGCAGCTGCATTTGAGGTCTCTGTCTATGCTTTTTTCACCCAGTGACAAATGCAAGGTGATTTGTTTCAACATTCCCATCTTTCATTTTTATGCCTTGAGAAAAGTCATTGCTGGCGCACACTCGAGGGGTTTGTCACATACTAACGGAGCTGGGCTGTCGGTGAAAAAGCAGTTGCTTGCGTAGAGGCAGTCACCCACGTGGATGACCTGATCGTCGCTGACAAATTGTGCACATGATGCCTACACTCAGTTTGTTGTGAGGAGATATTCTACCACAAAAAAATCTGTGAGGTCAACCTTGCGTTTTTTCTGCATGCCTGGGCTTGCGCTTGGCCCAGAAAATAAGGTGTTACGGCTTGGTTTTGAAGTATAACAGACTTTACAAAGGAGTAAATCTCTTTTTTATAAAACCAAGTCAAAGCAGAAAAATACAAAACCAAAAGAATCTGAGCTGAAAATACAAAGACAATAATCTGGAAATTATCTGATGTATAAATTAAAATATCCAGCTATGTTCTTTTCATAGCATCCCTAGGTACTGCATAAAGCTTTGTCTACTCTATTCTAATCTGAGAACCCTTCGATTTTTAATCTTTTGTAAATAGAAACTTTGTTGTATTCATAACAAACCATGTGATCTTGAGTAAAATATGTAATTTGGTAGTAGTTAACCAATTTGTTTAATGACTTCAAAAATCTCTGTAGTTAGAGATAGAAACACTTTGCCTTGTGCTGATTTTTTTAATGCCAAGTTCTGACTGACTATGTTGGGTTGTATTACAAACATAATTTACAACTTTTATGATGAAAATACCCATTAGTGGAGTAGTACAAAAGAAATCATCATTAGGTGGTTTGTCTGTTTGTTCTGTCGGGTTTTTTTGCCCAGGGATGCAGGTGGACTATTTTTCAGCCATGACTATCCTCTTGGGAACTGAACTTACTCTGACTTATTGATTTTTTTAAATGGCTTAAAAAAACAAAACAAATGGACTGGGATGTTGAAGAGAATATGTAAGAAGGTAGTGGAGTGAATGTAGTGAGTTAGTCTGCAATTTAAAAATTAAATTATTTCGTTTACTAAAATAACACGTACGTATGCTGTCATTATTTGTGGGTTTGAATATGGTTAGAATTTCTGTAATCTTCTTTTCAATTCTTTTTCTATAGAGCTACGTGTATTTCCAGACAGATTTATAGTTTGTGTCAGTAAACTTGAATTTAACCCAAGTGCTTGGACATGTGAAGATGGTGTATTGGTACGTACAAAATCATTCTCTAAATTTACTGGTTTATCTTATAGTGGTAAGATGAATGTTTATGTATAAATGTAGTTATTCATGTATTTGTGACTGTCATCTTGGAAGCAGAAAGTCACATTACCAGTTGGGCCAAAGTATTCAAAAAGACATGCTGAAGTGAGTCTGAAGCAGACAAAAATGGCAGTTTTTGGAAGCTCAGCATTTTTTGAGATATATAAGGCTCAGAGAAAAAGACAGTATTTACTTTAGCGCCTCTTTTTCTCCTTTGTATTTTGTCCCATGTAACGTTTTACTTTCCAAAACTGTAAATGGGCTTTTAATGTGCATGGATTTCTTCTATGTTTTCTTAGCGCTTGTTCTGCAAAACAACTCAAACGGATCAGTGTTAGCCCTGTTGGGAAAAAAAAATCCCCAAACATTTATGGAGAAAAAGGCACTGGTGTGTAGTTAAATACCACAAGCAATTCTACTTAAATATTTCATCCTGAAGGCTTTATCAGGGTCAAAGGCTTTTGAATTTTACGCTGCGGTTAACTGCTGATTGTCTCGGGAGTGCTCACAGTGACCCAGGTGGCTGCGGTCCGGCAGGCGGCCTCTTTGGTGCTCACTGCGAGAGGCAATTACTCGCCAAGGCCTATGTATATTTTAGTAGTTTATCTTAGATGTATTAAAGTATATTTTACCCTTGGAAAAAAAGGTTTTCTTCTACGCATTCCACTTAGGAGGGCTTTTTTATGTCGAGCAGGGTGTTTTTATTTGTTACACTAAATGTAGATTTTATTTTCTTGATTCCTAGATAGGTAAATATCCTTAAATGTCAAAGGATGAAGCAAATATTTTTTCTTTCTCAGAAAAAAAAAATCTGAGTTTACTTTGGAAGTACTTTTGCTATGTTCTTGGTATTGTCTTGAAAACTACTTACATACTTTAAGTAGAAAATCCTATCTCTGCATTTTGACTGAGAAATAATTATCTTTTTTCTACTTGAATATCTCTTATGAGATACCCAATTTGTAGTTTTAATCTTTTCCTAACAATTTCTTTCACATGATTCTGTCTAGTAAATAGAAGGCAAACTAAAAATATAATGTTACTGACTTCAGCTTGACTGTTTCAAAATTTGATTTTGATCTATGGAAAATTCTTGCTTTTTGAAAGGAAAGTTCAAGCACTTTTATGTTAAAAAAATAATAAAAAACCCCTGTTGGTGGGATCATAACCTAATTAGTAATAAAGTGTTGAGAGTTTGCTTTACTTAGAGATGCAGTAGGTGTGCATGGAACTGGCTGGACCAGTCACTGCAGTCTGTCAGTAGGGGAGAGTAAGGTAAAGTTTTCCCTAAGCCATTTTCCCTGCTTTGAGGGACTAAAAAGATGTGAACAGACCGTCAGCAAATGCTTTGGAATATCTTTTTCATTCCTGTCACTCTAATTCAAAGGGTTCACTCCTGACTGTTCTGTTGATTGAGAATTTCTACAGAACATTAGTCCCAGATTTGTCGTGTACCCCAGCTCAGTACTTTGCCGAACTGAGGGAGTGTTTGATTGCCACTAAGAGGTAATTTCCAGTTTTTGGCGTTCCGAAAGTAAAGGCTAAAGAGCTGCACTTGGTGTATGTACTTTTCTCCATGCAGTTTAGCAGTGAATATGCTTGAACTCTAAGCTAGAACTAACAAAAGACCACCCAGAAGACCTTTCCGTTGATATTCTCCAGTGTATTCTGTCATGGCCTAAAAATGAGGCATATGTTTTGTTTTCCTCTGTATGTTGTTTGGGTTTGAATAATTTCATAATGTTGCATGCAAGTTCTTTTAAACGTTTAGTCAGCTCACACCCTTGGTTTTGAGGGCCTATCTGTGTTTTATAAAAGTAGTTGACTATATGTTAATGGACACTTTGTCACTTTTTAGTGTTGCTACATGTCATGGTGAGGACTTTATTATTATTTTTTTAAAACTGCTTTTATGCTGGTTTATGGTTTCGGTCAAACTTTCGTTCCTGAGCTCTGTCAAGACAAGCCAGGCTCTACTTTCCCATTACTTCATGTCAGCCTGATGCTCTTTTCTTTTACTCACTGCAACTCTATTTCTTCAGTGATCTTCAGCACTTTATACTTTGCCTTTTCACTGCCATTTAGGCTATTCTCTGTATCTCTGAAATAAACTGTCTTTAAACCAAGAGTTTCCAGGGCTGTAGCCAGAGACGAAATGAAATTCTTATATCCTACATTTTGCCATAGATTTATTATGGTTATTTATTATGGATAATTAAATTGCTTTTGAGATATTCACAAGCACAAACCTTAGCTTCAATTACTGAGAGAAATAATTTGAAGCCTTCTTGTAAGACCAAGAAAAAGATGGATTAGACGGTCTCTGTTAAATTGGCTTTCAGGATAAACTAATAAAATATTAGCGAGCACTTCTAAAGGAGTAGAGCTGAAATAAAATAGAAGAAAATCTGTTGATATGTAATTTTCTGTTTTCTAGGATGTATTTAGAATTTAGGGTCTTTCTGTAGTCATATCTAAAAAACAGGCTGCAGCAGTAATAATAATTTTGGAGGAAGGGAAATCTCTGTTAAAGAAACAATACAGCAAGTTATTGAAAACGCATAAGCAAATTGGAAGTCTCAAGGAAAAGATGGAAGAATAGCCTGGCTGATTAATGCCAAGTTTAAACATAAAACCATTGTTTCCTGTTTTGCAAAACTCTGTTGGTAATCTTGAATAGTTTTATCTTGAAAAAGATGACAGTTTTGGGAACATGGCATAAGAGGAAACCCAGGGAAATATATAAGAGCTCTGGCGAGATTAGTCATCTCTGTCAATGACGACATTTTCTTGATGATTATTATGTAGAGAGTTAAAATGGAAAATTGGAAATAGGTTATCTGAAGAAACAGTGGAAATGGAAGTGGGTGGAAGGTTTGTTGGAGGCTTGTGAGCATTTGAAAATGTGCTAACAATGGAGTATTCATTGATAACCACATGGACTTTATACTAGAATCTAGGAGTTCCTCTTTTTTTTGCATGAAGGAGGTTAAGGTAATGAAAACCAAAATTACCATTCCTGTGAAATCAGAAAAGCAAATGGGGAGTAGGAGATCCTGTCTTGATTCCACCGAGCCTTGTTAAGCTACAGAAATGAAAGCAAACTATTTCAGCTTCTTCATGCGTGTCAGGTACATGAGAGAGTTGTCTTTCTTAAAACTCAGAATGAATTGCGTGATTTGCTTAGGTTTTTATTATGGTGGGAAGGAGCTTCAGGTTCTTTCCTGAAAACATGTACACTTAGGTGTAATTAGCAGGAACTTTTTAAAATTAGAGTATGTGCTGCTGGAATTGTCTGTTGGAAGGTAGAATGAAAAATGTTTCAGGTAGCAATTTGTAAAGATTAGTAGAAGACTGTGGAATTTAGTCATCTGAAATACTTTAAAGTGTGTTTAATTGTTAAGTGATATCAGATTGGGTAGGGAAAAGAAAGAAACTGTGGAATACAGTTGCACAGTTCACACTGTAGAGGTGCTAAACTTGGCATGGAACTCTGTGTGTGTGTAGATATAATACTCCAGTTAAACCGCTGTAATGGTGGATTCCTACTGAAAAGGTCAGTCCACATCCCCTCTTGTTCCAGCTACATATCCTCTTCCTTTCTGGTTACAATGGACCAAGTGATTCTTCAGTCGAGAATGAATTGGTTCATTGACTTGATCCAGCAGAAAATTATTTATTTGTGAAGTTTGTCTGTTATTTATTGGAGGATTGGTTTTCCATCATGTCAGTTCCCTGAACCATCTCATCCTGTACCCACACAGTTGCCGATTGTGACACAAAAAATGTTGCAGGATTTAACTGAAGACAGCAGGATCAGCCCTTTAGGTAGCAGTCGATAGTTACCCCTGTTTGGAACTAACATCCAAACTACATATTAATCTTGTGCTTGTTGTAATACTTGTCTCATAAATGGTTTACAATTTCATGATCCTTTTTTAAATTTTATAAAATCTAGTTTTAATGTATTTTCTGATAATATGCTGAATTCTTTTCAGTCATTGTATGAAATGTAGCTAGGGGAAAACCAGTATTAAGCTGTACTTTGGTAACCATGAACAGGGTTCACTATTTTTTTCAAAAAGGTAGCAAGGGGAAACTGCAGACCAGTGAACCCTGTCCAGATACCACACAGTGGAACAGGTAAACAATTGCTTTTCCCTTTGGTGAGTTTTCACTTTTGACACTTCAAGCTTCTCTCACTTTTTTCTACTCTTGCTTCGTGTTTTGCTCCAGCTGATGGAAGACCGATGACACTGAAACAGAAAGTCCCTTCTGCCTTCTTCTCCCTTCTTGTAATCTCGATGTCTGTCGGTACTGACGTGTGGGGAGCTGTGTTAATTTATTGCTGCCTCTGAAAACAAGGTTGTTTTTGGTTTTAAGTTGTTTGTTTTCTCGTTTGCACGGTTGGCTTTCAGTGGGATCACTTTGGTCAGTCTCTTAGAGTGTGGCTGCCTAAATGCAAGTGTTGATACCGAGATGTGGCAGGACCGTGTGCTGGGTGAGATTTCCCTTTCAATGTCAGTACAGCTTTAAATTACCTTGAACCCTAAGACTACTCTCTCTCTGAGAAACTACATCCCAAAGTAATGATACTCACGTCTTTGACCTGGTCATAAAGAAGAGAGCTACGGCAGTTTTATAATATTCCTTTTCATCCCAGCTGTCTGCCTCTTCTCCTTGGTGATTACCCCTCCTATAGCAGAGCTTGCCAAAAGGACTTTGTGCTTGCATTGCATCTCGCTGCGCATCACAGCCTCATGGATTCGTGCAAACTGAACTTCCCTGGCTTTTAAGCCAGTGCATTGAATGGTGGGTGGGAGCAGCTGGGGCGTGTGTGTGCGCTCCCTTCTGCCAACTCTGCGCTGAGGGAAGGAACCTCCTGCAAAAGAGGAGGGAGGAGGATACCTGAGAGCGGTAATGCTCCTCATTGCCTCAGTGAGATT